TAGTTACCGAGTCCTTTCATTCTTTAGTCTCTTTTTAAATAAGGATTGTGGCCAGAGGTGAAATGCTCCCGGTTCAGATCGGATCGCCTGATCCGGTAGCAATGGCAGCAGGTGGTTCGGAGAACCGGTAGCAAAAATCCCTGCCCCCCCCCCACCACCACCATGCCCAGCTGAGCCGCACAATCATCAGAGGCTTTTTTTTTTTTTACTTTTAAAAGCATTTTTTCTACAACCTCTTCCACCGAAAAACATGCTTTAAAAGTAAAAAAAAAGGCTCTGATGATCACGCAGCTCAGCTGGGATCGTCAGAGGCTTTACAAAGAATTTTTTTCTGCAACCTCTTCGGCCAAAGAGGTGGTTAAAAAATGCTTTGAAAAGCCTCTGACGATCCCAGCTGTGTGCCTGATCAGCACAGGCTTTTCAAAGCATTTTTTGCAACCTCTTCAGCTGAAGAGGTTGTAGAAAAAAATGCTTTGAAGTTAAAAAAAAAAGTTCGCCACGCCCACTGTCACATTACCCCCCCACCAAGCCATGCCCATAGAACCAGTAGTAACAAATTTTATATTTCACCCCTGATTGTGGCCGAAACACATTCTCTGTTTCTCATCTTGTTCCTACTCATCCAATCATAATACCAAACAGCTTGTGTTTGGGTTGTTGTTGTTGTTGTTGTTGTTGTTGTTGTTGTTGTTATTATTATTATTATTATTATTATTATTATTATTATTATTGTTATTATTATTATCTTTTATTCATTAAACTTGAAACTCAGTCAACTGAACATTTAAAAATATATCACAAATATTATTGACTGGCACTGATGGTTGATACAGGTTGCTGCCGGCATCTTAGGTATTGACCAAGTATCTTTTTAAAATGTAAGATGTTCCGAGTAACACAGTTTTTTGCAGTTCCACTGGTGTTATTGCAGGAAGCATTTTTATTTATTTATTTTATTTATTTTATTTGATTTTTATACCGCCCTTCTCCAACAGGACTCAGGGCAGTGAACAGCCAAGATAAAACATAACACATAAAATTTAAAAAACAGTTTAAAAGACATTAAATAATTTTGGCCCTCAATTTAAAACAACCCAGTTAAAACCAATTTCAAATTAAAATTGAAAGGATGGGATCAAGCCAGCCCGGCCAGATGAAATAGATGTGTTTTCAGGGCCCGACGAAAAGTCTGGAGGTCTGGTATCGTGTGTATCTCTGGGGGTAGGTCGTTCCAGAGGGCAGGTGCCACCACAGAGAAGGCTCTTCCCCTGGGGGTCGCCAGCCAACATTGTCTGGCCGACAGCACCCTGAGGAGGCCCTCTCTGTGTGAGCGAACTGGCCGGTGGGAGACTATTGGCGGCAGAAGGCAGTCTCATAGATACCCCGGCCCTAAGCCATGGAGCGCTTTAAAGGTGGTCACCAATACCTGGAAGACCACCGGAAGCCAGTGCAGCTCACGCAGGAGAGGTGTCACATGGGAGCGCCCCATTGCTCCCATAATCCCCCGCATGGCCGCATTCTGGACCAACTGGAGCCTCCGGGTGCACCCCAAGGGGAGCCCCATGTAGAGAGCATTGCAGTAGTCCAGGCGGGAAGTGACGAGTGCCTGAGTGACTGTGCGTAGGGAGTCCCAATCCAGAAAGGGACGCAACTGCCGTATCAGGCAGACCTGATAAAAAGCCCCCCTGGCTACGGCCATCATATGCTCTTCTAAAGACAGCCATGCATCCAGGAGGATGCCCAAGTTGCGAGCCCTCTCCGTGGGGGGCCAGTGATTCACCCCCAATAACCAGTGATGGCATCAGCTGGCTATATTGGGACGCCAGAAGCCACAGCCACTCAGTCTTGGAAGGGTTGAGTTGGAGCCTGTTTCTCCCCATCCAGGCCCGCACGGCTTCCAGGCACCAGGACATCACTTCAAGGGCATCGTTGGGGTAGCCTGGGGTGGAGATGTACAGCTGAGTGTCATCAGCGTACTGATGGAAGTCCACCCCAAAGCCATGGATGATCTCACCCAGCGGCTGTACATAAATGTTGAACAGAAGGGGCGAGAGGACCGACCCTTGCGGCACCCCAAAAACAAGGCACCTTGGGGTCAACTGCTGCCCCCCTGCCAACACAGATTGCAACTGGTCAGAGAGGTAGGAGGAGAACCACCGCAAAATGGTGCCCCCCACCCCCAACCCCTCCAACCAGTGCAACATGATACCATGGTCGATGGTATCAAAAGCCGCTGAGAGATCTAATAGGACCAGGATGGAGGAGCAACCCCTATCCCAAGCCCTCCAGAGATCATCCACCAATGCGACCAATGCCGTTTCTATGCTGTGCCCAGGCCTGAAGCTGGACTGGAGCAGATCTAGATAGACAGCTTCATCCAGTTACTGTGGAAGCTGCCGCGCCACCACACTTTCAACAACCTTCGCAATAAAACGAAGGTTGGAGACTGGACGATAGTTAGCCAAAACAGCCGGATCCAGAGAGGGCTTCTTGAGGAGGGGCCTCACACCGCTTCTTTCAAGGTGGCCGGTAGGACACCCTCTCTCAAAGAAGCGTTAATAATCCTCTGGAGCCAGCCTCGTGTAACCTCCCGGGAAGCCAGCACCAACCAGGAGGGACATGGGTCCAATAAACATGTGGTCACGTTCAGCCGTCCCAGAATCCTGTCCACGTCCTCGGGAGCCACAGGATCAAACTCCTCCCAGATAACACTCTCAAGACCTTCCTCAATCATCCCGTCCGGACTTACCCTGTCAGAGGCCAGGCCTTCCCGAGTCTGAGCGATCTTGTCATACAGATACTGCACAAAATCCTCAGCTCGACCCTGCAAGGGATCATCCTGCGCTCCCAGATGGAGGAGGGAGCGGGTCACCCTAAGCAGGGCAGCTGGGCGATTATCTGATGACGCAATAAGGGCGGCAAAATAGCTAGATTTTGCCACTTTTATCACCACTAGGTAGGTCTTAATATGAGACCTCACCAGTGTTCGGTCGGATTCAGAACGGCTGGTCCTCCAACCACTCTCCAGGCATCTTTTCCGGTGCTTCATCTCCCTCAGCTCCTCGGAGAACCAAGGAGCTAGGTGAGTTCGGTGCCGGGTCAGAGGCTGCAAAGGCACGATGTGGTCCAAAGCCCCGGCGGCCGCACTGTCCCAGGCGGCCACCAGATCTTCAGCTGAGTCATGAGCCAGAGTCTCAGGAAATGAATGTTCAGTTGACTGAGTTTCATGTTTAATGAATAAAGTAAAGAATAAGAATAAGAATAAGAATAAGAATAAGAATAGAATAGAATAGAATAGAATAGAATAGAATAGAATAGAATAGAATAGAATAGAATAGAATAGAATAACAGAGTTGGAAGGGACCTTGGAGGTCTTCTAGTCCAACCTCCTGCAAATCTAGTTCCTTTGTTAAAACCATCCACTGATGATATGTTTCACTCTTCACTGGAACATAATATGTTTATCCATACTATCACCAGCTTATGGCTTACAATTTTGATATGCATATGATCAGAGCAACACATCAATCCCTCATTTCTGATTTTCATGTTCTCATTCATAATCATACCTACATCTTCATTTTCCTATGCATTTTCATGCATTCTGTTCATTCATTTATGGACGTCTTCATTTTGATCTATTACATCTTTCCCTTTTCTCTTAGTTTCACACACATGCTGCATTTAACAGTATGGCTTTTATCATCCAAGGCTTTCAAACAATGCTTTAGAGCAGTGTTTCTTAAAGTGTGGCCCAAGAATACCAAGGGTCTTCCAAAACCCCTTCAGAGATCTGCATAATAGAATTTATTTACCAGATATTGAAGATATTTCAATACCTTCTCAATGTCACTCTTCTCATTATTATTTTTCTACTTCTTTAAAAAATATAGGACTTTTTTATTAGAAATGTTTTATTTATATTATCTGTTGGGTTTCATATTGTTCTTTCTAAATGATACAATAAGAATTTGATGCATGCATCCATTTTAGTCTTTAATATATTTATATATTTAAGAGTCATGGTGGTGCAGTGTTAGACTGTAGTAAGGTAAAAGGTAAAGGTTCCCCTCGCACATATGGGCTAGTTGTTCCCAACTCTGGGGGCGGTGCTCATCTCTGTTTCAAAGCCGAAGAGCCAGCGCTGTCCGAAGACGTCTCTGTGGTCATGTGGCCAGCATGACTAAACATCAAAGGCGCACGAACGCTGTTACCTTCCCACCAAAGGTGGTCCCTATTTTTCTACTTGCATTTTTATGTGCTTTCGAACTGCTAGGTTGGCAGAAGCTGGGACAAGTAACAGGAGCTCACCCCGTTACACGGCACTAGGAATTCGGACTGCTGAACTGCCAAACTTTCGATCGACAAGCTCAGCATCTTAGCCACTGAGCCACCGCATCACCTAGAATATAGTATTGCAAGCTAATTCTGCTGACTCAAGGATCCTCACTGTCTCAAGGTTGTCTCAGCCTTTCATCCTTCCGAAGTCAGTAAAATAAGGACTCAGATTGTTGGGGGCAATATGCTGACACTGTAAACTGGTTAGAGGGCTTTGAAGCACTATGAAATGGTATATAAGGCCTATTGCTATAATATGTTCAATATCACTAAATATAACCCATACAAACAAAAGCTTTTTTACGGTTCTCTCTCTCTCTTTTTTTTTTTTTAATGTGGAAAGGGTTCCTGAAAGCAAAAAATTTAAGAAACTCTGCTTTATAGGATGAAAGGGATGGGATATATTAAGTTACAGTCTTAGCTGTACTCATGCTGTATGCAGCATTCCTTGTTAAAGGTAAGGACGGAATTGGTTAGTTTTAGCAAATTTTTGCTTCAATGCTACAAGTGCAACCGCACCTGAGTTTTCCCTCAAGCACAATCATACTATCTTATACACACTAGGATCTCTAAAATAATTTCTGAATGAATGGGATAAAAATATAAGTGATGTCATAAATATATAGCCATCAGTTCTGAAACTTCTAGAACTACACGGTAGCTGTTAGCAACAGAAAGAAAGGAAGACAGCAGGAGAAGGAAGAGACCACAACAACAATGAAGTTCTGTGCCAGGCTATTGTTTCTAATGTAAGAACCATGAATCCACCTTGGTCTTGGGATTCTTCTTGTAAAGAGCACCTGAATAAACAACAAAGCCAGAAAGGTAAAAACATCTGGCCCAGATAATTGGTACCAAGGGGGTGTCTTAGAAGCTAGTGCCTGGTGGACTGAGCAGTCTTGTCTGGCCACATGTAGATGGAAGAAGAAAAATTAATGATTCCTTGGTTGCTCTCAACTCAGCAACTATTGAGAACATTAAAGAAATGGAAGAAAATGATGGCATCAAAGAAGAGAGTAACAGCGATGTAATACAACATAAAGAAAATGGAGACGCTGCCCCCGTAATAGAACCAGGCGTTCCAAAGGTGCAACCTTCATCTAAACAGTTTGTAGATCAAGATACACAGTCTGATAGCAAAGTTAGCATTTTCAGACGAAAAGAATTCACAGACCAAAGTGATCAAACACACACTCCTCCTGCCTATGGAACTACTAGTATAGACTCCTCCAGAAAACAATCTAGAAATAGTCAGCATTTTGAAACTCAGGAACAACAATTCCCAGGCCAGGAATCCCGCCGCAATAGTCAGAAGGTAGGCCACCATAGCACTCACGTCTCAGACCAGGAATCCTGGCATAGTCAGCCACTCTCAGGCCAAGAATCCCGTCGTGGCAGTCAAGTGCTACCTGGCCAGGAATCCCGTCGCAGTAGTCAGCATAGTCAGCATCTCCCATGTCAAGAATCTCGGCGAAGCAGTCATGCTAGCCAGAAGTCTTCTAGAACGCAACCTATGAATGAAGCAGAAACAAAGGAACATCCAACTTGGGTCAGTCAAAGGACAGGGAAAGTGGTGAAATGCGAAAGCCAGCAGACAAGTAGAGTTTGGGAGTTCAAGCCACTTGCCGATATTCTTCAACCTTATAATCAAGTAGTTCATAAAAGCAGAAGCATAAAGAAATCAGCTGCTCACATTTCTTCTCAGCTTGTAGGGCAAGAAGCAAAGATCAGCAGCCAAGAACCAAGAAGTCAGGCTTCACAACAGGGTACCGAACAACCGAAAGAGGTCGTGTCTTGGATTAGCAAAAAAGGAAAGTTAGTAAAATGCACAAGTCAACAGACAAGCAGAATCTGGGAACATAAACCCCTTGCAGAAATCCTTTCTAAACAACAGGCACAGAGCATCAGAGATTCTAAAGAAAAAGTGATCACAGGAGAGACGGTTCTTCCCAAGGGGCCAGAAAAAGAACTGGCAGAAATAGCTAAGACACAGCTTATCAGGCAGGAAAGCCAAAAATCCCAGCAAGGCAGTCAGGAATTAAAAGGAAAGGAATCCCAAGATGACAGACAAGTAAAAGATTTGATAGCTGCAGCTGGAAAAGTGGCAGATATAACACTACAGACTGACAGCAGTGTGAGCATTTTCAGACGTAAAGAACTGATGGATCAAAATGAACAAACAGGTCTCTCTTCTGGCAGTTCAACAAGCAGCAGAGGATCTATGCAAAAGTTTCTACAGGAAAGACCACAACAAAAATCCCAGTTCGAAACTCAAAGGGAAGGACAGGAATCAAGACGTGGCAGTCAAGATATGAAAAGTAAGCAGTCACTGCATGTCAGACAAGAATCCAAAGTTCAGGAATCCAAACATGAAAAGGGAGAACCAGAAGGTCTAGGATTGGTGGATGACAGTAAAAAAACAGATGCTAAAGTTCAGGAACCTTCAGCAGTATCTGGCATTGTTTCTGATGAGAAAATTGTCCGGATGACTGGAAAAAGTGGAGCACAACTTAAATGTTCAGGTCAGCAAACAAGTGAGAGTCTGTTCAAAGACTATCTAATAGAATTATATGGTTCAGTTCCTAAACAGAAAAAAAGTCAGACCCCAGAGAGAAATGAGTTTCTGAGGGAAGGTCAAGAATCAAAAGTAACAGCAGAAGTACAGCAGCACATTGTGCAGGAATCTAAAAAGAGCATCCAAGAACCAGTCTTGCCAGGATCCAGAAAAGCCAGCCAACAGCTGGAAGCTCGAGGTTCTAGAAAGAGTCTCCAAGAATCAGAGGTACGAGGGTCCAGAAAAGCAAGCCAAGAGCTAGAAGCCCGAGAATCTAGAAAAAGTATCCAGGAGCCAGAGATTCCAGGGTCTAGGAAAGTCAGCCAAAAGCTGGAAGCCCGAGAGCCTCGAAAGAGTCTCCAAGAGCCAGAGGTTCCAGGGTCCAGAAAAGCCAGCCAACAGCTGGAAGCCCGAGAGTCTCGAAAGAGTCTCCAGGAGGCCAGAGGTGACAGGATCCAGAAAAGCCCCAACAGCTAGAAGCCCGAGAGTCTCGAAAGAGTCTCCAGGAGCCAGAGGTGACAGGATCCAGAAAAGCCAGTCAACAGCTGGAAGCCCGAGAGTCTCGAAAGAGTCTTCAGGAGCCAGAAGTGCCAGGATCTAGAAAAGTCAGCCAACAGCTGGAAGCCCGAGAGTCTCGAAAGAGTTTCCAGGAGGCAGTGGTGCCAGGGTCCAGAAAAGCCAGCCAACAGCTGGAAGCCCGAGAGTCCAGAAAGAGTCTCCAGGAGGCAGAGATTCCAAGTTCCAGGAAAGCCAGCCAACAGCTGGAAGCCCGAGAGTCCAGAAAGAGTCTCCAGGAGGCAGAGGTTCCAGGTTCCAGAAAAGCCAGCCAACAGCTGGAAGCCCGAGAGTCCAGAAAGAGTCTCCAGGAGGCAGAGGTTCCAGGTTCCAGAAAAGCCAGCCAACAGCTGGAAGCCCGAGAGTCCAGAAAGAGTCTCCAGGAACCAGAGGTTCCAGGTTCCAGAAAAGCCAGCCAACAGCTGGAAGCCCGGAGTCCAGAAAGAGTCTCCAGAAGCAGAGGTTCCAGGTTCCAGAAAAGCCAGCCAACAGCTGGAAGCCCGAGAGTCCAGAAAGAGTCTCCAGGAACCAGAAGTTCCAGGTTCCAGAAAAGCCAGCCAACAGCTGGAAGCCCGAGAGTCCAGAAAGAGTCTCCAGGAGGCAGTGGTGCCAGGGTCCAGAAAAGCCAGCCAACAGCTGGAAGCCCGAGAGTCCAGAAAGAGTCTCCAGGAGGCAGAGATTCCAAGTTCCAGAAAGCCAGCGAACAGCTGGAAGCCCGAGAGTCTCGAAAGAGTCTCCAGGAGGCAGAGGCCAGAGTCCAGAAAAGCCAGCCAACAGCTGGAAGCCCAAGAGTCCGAAAGAGTCTCCAGGAGGCAGAGGTGCCAGAGTCCAGAAAAGCCAGCCAACAGCTGGAAGCCAAAGAATCTAGAAAGAGTCTCCAGGAGGCAGAAGTGCCAGTCCAGAAAAGCCAGCCAACAGCTGGAAGCACAAGAGTCTCAAAGAGTCTCCAGGAGGCAGAGGTGCCAGGTTCCAGAAAAGCCAGCCAACAACTAGAAGCCCGAAGTCTAGAAAGAGTCTCCAAGAGGCGAGTGCCAGAGTCCAGAAAACCCAGCCAACAGCTGGAAGCCAAAGAGTCTAGAAAGAGTCTCCAAGCAGAGGTGCCAGAGTCCAGAAAAGCCAGCCAACAGCTGGAAGCACAAGAGTCTCAAAAGAGTCTCCAAGAGCCAGAGGTTCCAGGTTCCAGAAAAGCCAGCCAACAACTAGAAGCCCGAGAGTCTAGAAAGAGTCTCCAAGAGGCCGAGGTGCCAGGGTCCAGAAAACCCAGCCAACAGCTGGAAGCCAAAGAATCTAGAAAGAGTCTCCAGGAAGCAGAGGTGCCAGGGTCCAGAAAACCCAGCCAACAGCTGGAAGCCCTAGAGTCTCAAAAGAATATCCAGGAGCCCGAGGTTCCAGGATCCAGAAAAGCTAGCCAGCAATTGGAAGCCCAAGAGTCTAGAAAGAGTCTCCAAGAGCCAGAAGTTCCAGGATTGGAAAAATTAGCCAGCAGCTGGAAGCACAAGAGTCTCAAAAGAGTCTCCAAGAGCCAGAGGTTCCAGGTTCCAGAAAAGCCAGCCAACAACTAGAAGCCCGAGAGTCTAGAAAGAGTCTCCAAGAGCCAGAGGTTCCAGGTTCCAGAAAAGCAGCCAACAACTAGAAGCCCGAGAGTCTAGAAAGAGTCTCCAAGAGGTAGAGGTGCCAGGGTCCAGAAAAGCCAGCCAACATCTGGAAGCCAAAGAATCTAGAAAGAGTCTCCAAGAGGCAGAGGTCCCAGCTTCCAGAAAAGCCAGCCAACAGCTGGAAGCCCGAGAGTCTAGAAAGAGTCTCCAGGAGCCAGAGGTGCCAGGGTCCAGAAAAGCCAGCCAACAGCTAGAAGCCCAAGAGTCTAGAAAGAGTCTTCAGGAGCCAGAGATTCCAGTTTCTAGAAAAGCTAGTCTACAGCTGGAAGCACAAGAGTCTCAAAAGAATCTCCAAGAGCCAGAGGTTCCAGAATCCATAAAAGTTACACAGAAGCAATCACAAGAGAGTAGACAACTGTATATGGCTGAAATGACTGAACAAGTAGGTGCCTCTGAAAGCCAAGCAACTCTACAAAGATCCACTGGTCCTTTAGACAGGGAGAACAAAGGTTTGCAGACATGCAGCATAATTTCTATAGAAGATGGGATGTGGCTGAACAGAAAAACAGGCAAGCTTTTAGTAAGTCACACTCAACAAACTGAAATTGCCTCACGTCAGGCCCCTAATAAAAGAGCAGCAGAGAGTGGAAACATGGCAAGACCATTTGGATCTGGGAGCCCTGAAATAGGGCCTCAGTTGGAAGAATTAAATCAGATTGGTACTACAGATGAGGAAAAGATAGATCAGGACCAGCAGCAGCTTATTCGCAAAGAATCCCCTCCTGGTAGCCAAGAAGTTTCTGGCCAGGACCAGCCTCCATTGGGGAAAGAACTTGAACCTGTCATCCAGCAAGGTTCAAATCAAGAACTGCTCAGTGACACAGAGAACCCACAAAATCTAGAGCAAACTGAGGGAGAAGAGCATGAGTACACAGACGATGTTGAACAATTGCTAACTCAACACTTGAGTGAAGCAACACTAGAAAGTATAGCAACTGCTGAAGGAGATGATATATCTGTACGGACATATAGTGCTGTTTCCGTAGAGGAAGGATGCTGGATCAATAAAAGAACAGGCAGAAAAGTAGTGTCTCAGAATCTGCAAACAGAAGAATCTTCATTTCAGAAACGTGAAAACACAGAGGAACCCCAGAACAGTGACAAACCACCAGAAGAAGACATGACTGAAATAACTGAGCCAAGTGGATAAAACATGACAGGCAGCATGAGGAGATGAAGGAATGAAGAATGACCATGATCCCTACGGCCACTATACCCAGTGAGTAATTAGCTATTTGTAGACTGATAGGCAGCACTGTCTTTTCCCTAAAAAGAAGAATGGTATTGAAGGTTTGCTCGGTCTTACTATATATTAAAAAAAAAAAAAAGACAAAATATATGGAAAGGGGAAATATTTTAGGAAATCTGTTGGGTCTCTTTCATCAGAAAAGCAAAGCTATAGTCATGAAGAAGCAGACCTAAAACAAGATTTCTTTAAGCAGAATAATTATCTTTTGGGGATGAATAAAAGATCACCACAAGTAGATCTGTAAAGATTTGGTTAATTTTCATTATTTTAAAAAAAAATTGAAACTACCAAAAAAGATCATTTGCAAAATATAGTATAAAATGACTTTGTATAAATATACAAAAAGGATGAAGGCTATTGCTTAGCACATTGTAAGCCGCCCTGAGTCTCCGGAGAAGGGTGGCATATAAATCAAATTTTAAAAAAAATGTAGAATTTCAGATACAAAAATGTAGATTGGCAACTCCCTCTTGAACTGTATAAATTATATAATTATATTTGTATTACACAATTTTTACATAATGTAATATGTGAACTGTTGAATAAAAGCTGAATCAAAACATCAATTGACATAGGTTGCATTGAAATGTGTTGCTGATACCTATGAATTTCAGCCTATGTAGAAATCCTTCAAGGATGCTGGAGAAGATGAGAGGGGGGAAAAGCAGCTACTGATATGGAAAAGAGTCCCATTTACAATGAATGTACATCACTCAACATCTGTTCTATCAAAAGGAGCTGAACTGTTGTCCCCTGTAGCAGATAGGTCATTGGTCAGTGGTCCTCCAAGGATGCAGGCATCAATGGTCAGTGATTATCGGTATAGTGACAATTTAAAAATAAATACAATTGTGTAAAAATATGATGTAGCCAGAATCATTGTACAACCTCCTAGGGGAATAATGGATGGGGAAGTGAATAGCAGAGAGTTTTTATCATTCTTATTGAAACAACAAAGTGTAAATATAAATAAAAGTAGATCTCGCCACTGAGATCAGGACACCAGAAATCCTTAATTGTAAATGTCTGGATGATCGATGTTAAACAGCTTCCTAAATTTCAGTAGGGAAGGAACCAGCCTGAACTCAGGGCTACCCAAAGGAGCCAAGTAGAAAGTGCTCCAATCCACATTTGGTGGTGCAGATGATTCTATCTGTATCCTCAGACTCCATAGATTGAAAGAAATCCCAGATGACCTTGTAAGATGTTTCCCTAATTATCTCATTAGATTGCTCAAGTAGCATCTAATTCAGAGCAAATGTAAGTAATTATAGTTGCTAAGAATCTGGCAAATGAGTCACAGAAGCACGTAGAAAAGTCTCTTGTCTGGTTCTTCCACAACAGATTGCAGGTTATCCTCAACAAGGCTACTAAAGGAGATTCTGCAAATGCAGAAATGCAGCAAAGAAGGACCACTGTGCTGTTTGTGCCACTGCGGTGTTGGCACAAGCATGAGCTATACCTGCATTTAATCATGTTCACTCATAGTCTTCTCCCGTCATCACTTTAGGTATCTTTTTTTGTTGCCCAGACAAGAGAGCATTTGGGGATTAGTGAAAGAGAAAGACCATTTAGGAGTAATCATCTACAGCAGAGGTGTCACTCAATTTCATTGAGGGCTGCATCAGGATTGTGGTTGACCTTGAGGGCCAGGTGGCCATGGCTGAGTGGGCATGGCCGGGGTGGGCATGGCCAGCTCAATATCACTTGAGTTGAGGGGTGCCTGTGACAACCTGGATGGATGCCTAGGAAGTGGGGCAGAGGCAGCCCCTTGTTGACTCCAGGGTGGCCCCGTGGATCTAAGGCTGACCATGTTCTGTATTGGGCAAATTTTAGATCACAGGCCTGATCTAACCACATTGTGGGCTTGCACCCGTGATTTGATGAATTCTATGGTAGAACTGGCTGCGATACACTGGAAGAATCCTCACTTACTTTCTGAGATCTACAGTAACTGGATTCACTGGTCATTTGGAGTTGACCATTCAAAGGTACCTGGAATTCTGAGATCTATGAGAGATGTTTTACCTGAAGTGAAACCAACAATTCAGTTTTACATGATAGTTAAAAAAAAGTAGCATCGATTTTAGCACTGACATGACTTGTATCCTCCAACAACAAAAACAAACTATACGCAAACACACACACACACACACACACACACACACACACACACACAAACCACAGAGACAAATACACACCAATACATATACATATATATGAAATAATGGGTAAGGAATTGGAATATCCAGTTTTGGAAAAGCAAATGAGTTTCAAAAATTGTACAATGTACATCTTCTGATTTAAGAATAAAGTGAATTCATTGAAAATTCTTATTTAACATTTATTGGATTTTTCAGATAATGTTTAAAAAAGATTTGATTTTTTTGTGTTAGTATTATAAAAAATTACAATTAGAATGGTAAAAATTACAATTAACTCACTTGATTTGCTCCTGTCCAGTCCTGGCTCTTTTACCTTTCAGTTTTAACATATGTTAAAATAATGGTGAGAAAGCATATACTACAGTAATTAAAGATGTACATCTAATGTTGACTTAATACTCTCAAAATATGAAATTTGACAACTCTGGCTTTAATTAACTAGGGCTTGCAAAGATAATTGTTTAATGAGATAAAAAGAAAATTATGCTTCTCAACTTAAGGAATGGATTCAAGAGATGTATTCCTTATAAATGTTTGAAATGCCTTTATACTCTTAAATTGAGAATATGTGACAACATGTTTCTTTATGGTCTACAAAGAGGGGAAGATCTCAGACTAGACCACATTTCCTTTTTTGCCTAGTCAGGATTCAGAAACTTTTTACTTATATTTCAATTATATTTGTATAATCACCCATTTCACATGAAAGTGACTCTGGGTGGCGTAGAAATGCATGTCCTATCACTAGGCTGGAGATGAATGTGGTTTTATTATGCACTTGTTTTGTCAATTTATTTATTTATTTATTTTATTTTATTAAATTTTTATACCACCCTTCTCCTACTGGACTCAGGGCGGTGAACAGCCAAAAATAAAAACATCAAATTTTTTTAAAAGAATTAGACAAATTTTGGCCCAATTAAATTTAAAACACCCCAACTAAAATCAATTTACAATTAAAAATATCTAAAAATATCTAAGGGTGGGGGGTTACGCCAGCCCAGCTAAATAAAAAAGTTTTAAGGGCACGGCGAAAAGCACGGAAATCTGGTATCTTACGTATCTCCGAGGGCAGGTCGTTCCAGAGGGCAGGTGCTGCCACAGAGAAGCCCCTCCCCCTGGGGGTTGCCAGCCGACAATCGGCTGATGACAATCACCATTGTCAATCGGCAGATGGGGATCGGCAGATGGGGACCAAGGAATCCCGCAGTTCAGTCTCCCAGATGCAGCGAAGAGATCTGTGTCAAGAAGCAGAGTTTGGCACCAAATTGTTGGTCGCACTTTTTCAGGGGATACCAGGCCAACACTTTCCACTGTATCTTCCTCTCCCTATTACAATCCCTGATATGCTCCCTGTCAACATCTATTCCCAAGCACTCCCAAGCTCTTCTTCTACCATCCAGCCACCCAAATTCCCCACAGTCCAACTGTAGACTCCTCACTATTCACACTTAAAGTCAACAATCTGGCAACCTTCTCTTTCTGTCTCCTCTCTCTCTCTATCATTTATATATCCCTCCCAACTCCAAAACCAATAGCACCCTCATTCCAGGCCCTATATCACTAAAGCCACCAGGTTGAAAAGACCATCTCCTGGTTTTTTTTCACTCCAGGGAAAGTCTCCAATTCCATCTCCTGCTTCATCCAAGGAACTGTCCTGTTCCACCAACGTAGTCCCATATCTTCAAGAAGTTCTCCCACAAACAAAGGGCAACTTTGTGCCTACTGCAACATGCAGCCTTTAATCACAGTTTTTTCCAGCTGATGGGAGATCTTTTGTCTGGCTTTAGTTTAAATACATGGCAGCAACTGCAGGACTCTGCAAGTCATGTTCTCCCCCACCTTGCCACCTTGCAGCGACCAAGCCATATCAGTCTCCATCTATCCTGAGGCAGCCACTGACATTTGTTTCTTCTTTGCTATCCGATCTTAACTTCAACAGATGCAACAAGAGCTTGATAGCCCTTGAACTCAACAGAATAAGGCAGATAGACCTGTTAATATATATAAATATATTCTGATTGTTAAAAAAAAAAACAACTTGAATGCTAAATTGGAGCGTATAGGATGGGGTTAAAAAAGAGAAATTCTTTCTTTCTTTCATATTTTCATCTTATTTTTTTGCTTTCCTTTCAGAAAATACTTCACTGCACGCAACTATCTATTTTACAGTACAAACTGAAATCCAAGCAAAGACCCAATCCCCCTTCTCTTAAACTGCCACCCAACAGCAAAATCAACCACAAGGGAATGTCAGCGAGAATTATCTCACGTTCTGCTAAGCTCTGACAGCAAGTTCAAGCATTAGGTGTCCATCATCTGAGAGAAGTGACTGCTCAACACAAAGGACATGCTTGCTACTTAAAACTTCTGTTGATATTCTACTCATTTACCTGCAGTGTCTGTCCTATATATGTATGTAAGAATGAGATGATGAGCACAGACCTTCTTCAATCAGGTCAGATGATCTATATTAAGAACTCCTTGCCCATAGGACGATGAGGGGTCAACAGCTAAAATACATGTTCCATCTAAGTCTAGTTTCTTCTGCCGAGAAAGAGGTTTCTGTTCTACCTCCTTTTCAAGCTGCCATAGAGTTTTCATAGTATTAACTTATTGTGTTTCTGAGTTGACTTTATGACTGTATGGTGGAGGGAATTGCTGCTTTCCTCTCTTTTTACATAAGATCAGTCTGCCTCAGTTTCAGGATTACTCCTAGGCAGGAGTTCCTGATGTTGTTTTCTGCTGGAATTTTATGCCAGTGTGAGATGGTTGGGAGGCTGACAATTGCTGGAGAGACCAATTGCCTAGGAATTCCTGCACAGTTCCATAATTTATGCCATCACAAAACTTAAATTCAGTGCCTTAGTCCAGTACCCCATCTGTGGGGAAAAAACCCTTCTTCTCTTCCAAAAACAAACAAAAAACCTAAAAAGCAATTCATTAACATCAAATAGGATGAATATGACTAAACTAAAGAGAATCTGTAAAGTAACTTTCAGCACAGCATTAGCTTTGCTTCAGTTGCTATAGGGTTTGACTCTTCTCTGTAGGTCTTAAAATTTGTAGCAGAGATGCAATCTGGCACTGTTGCTGATTCATCTCCTTTAGGATACTCTGTGTAGTTCTTGTGCTGTGCTATAGTTAAAATCTTAGGTAGGACCAATTTATCACTGGTCTGTAAAATGTGTGTGGGGGGGGGGTGGTCAAGTTATTCTCCAAAGCACCTGAAGGTGGAACAAAAAGCAATGGATGGAAACTAATCAAGGAGAGAACCAATCTAGAACTAAGGAGAAATTTCCTGACAGTTAGAACAATTAATCAGTGGAACTTGCTCCAGAAATTGTGAACGCTCCAACACTGGGAGTTTTTAAGAAGACGTTGGATAATCATTTGTCTGAAGTGGTCTGGGTTTCCTGCTTGAGCAGTAGTCAGACTAGTAGACCTCCAAGGTCCCTTCCAACTCTGTTATTCTGCTATTCTGTTAAATTGAAATGTTTGACATCAACTGGGCATTGGATTTGGGAGATTTTAAGATT